TCTAATTTTTACTCTCGTAAATTTAAGCAATTTACTCATATAATTGCTCAGCTTTACGTGAATAAAAACTTGAGCAAAATTGGTCAAGCTCGTATTCACGTAAAGCTGACCAATTACTGAGTAAAAGCAATTGCTCATTTTTATTCACCCAGCCAATTATATAACTAGATGTCTAACTTCGATCCGAAAAGTGAAGCCGCTTTTTACCTTTTTTACAAATGGCGGATTCAATTTGTAAACAATCATTTTTAACTTTTCTTTTCTTAAATGAAATAAATATATTTCAAATTTAAATACTATTTACGTATAAGTCTTAAGCGGAAATTATAATACTTGTAAAATAATAATTTATGATTCCTTAATTTATTTTCGATTAAAAAGGGATTAAAGTTTTGAATAAAAAAGTGAAACGACAGACTTTTTTATGAATTAAAATTATAATTTTACTTTTTTATAAACATGGGCTCGTAAAAAAACTTTAAAAGTATTTTATAATTACTAAAATTTGTTGTTGAATTATCTTTAATTTATTGGGAACTTTTGACTTGCATTTTTAACTTTTATTCCACACTTCGGCTTCAGCTTTTGCCCTTTTCACAAATGGCGGACTACTGTTATGAACAAAAAAAAGCGGCTTCACTTTTTGTCCGATAAAATAATCTCGCTAATAAGTAAATTTGGAATACGTCATTTGCAACATCATATTTGGCAAAAAGTAATAGTGCCAAAACATATTCAAGTATAATTATAGCTAAATGCATAACGTAAAAATGTAAAAATATATAAAATAAAAAAAAAATGTAAAAATATAAAACAATAAAGCAATAATATATATAATATATAATACATATACAGTAGAATCCTGTTAACTCGGACTCTGAACGGATATATATATATATATATATATATATATATATATATATATATATATATATATATATATATATATATATATATATATATATATATATATATATATATACATATATATATATATATATATATATATATATATATATATATATATATATATATATATATATATATATATATATATATATATATATATATATATATATATATATATATATATATATATATATATATATATATATATATATACAGTATTGGACAAAACATTTGCAACCAACATCGAACAATGCTAAAAAGTGTTCCTAATTTTACATGTCTTAAAAACAAAACGAACTATACTACCACAGCAAACAGTTCAGGAGTCTGGAGTCATAGCATGCCATGACATGAACAACCAGCTGACAGGTGACAGCACACAGGCAGAATTTCGTTGACAAGTGCCGTTTTGCAGCGGACAAAACAAGTGAAACCTTTTTGGTTTGTTTCATTTTCTTAAGTCTGGTCCGTGTCTACGTCGCGGAAGTTTTTTAATAATTAAAGGAATTATCCAGAAGTTTCCAGAAGCATGCAGAAGCTTCCAGAAGCATCGAAAAAAATCATTTAGAATCTCCCAGAATTGGTTCACACAGGTTCATTTTACTATATAAGAGACATGTAAACCGGCATGTAATTCAGTCAGTATATAGAAGTCAATCAGTCAGTATTATCAAGACAGTATTATCAAGTATCAAGACATCAAGTATTATCAAGACAGTTTATCGAAGTGAGTTATCAAACTGTTTTATCGAAGAACATCAATACAAGAAGTGAAATACAACAAGTATTTCATTACCTCAATACAGTCCACATCCAACCAAGATGTTGTGTTTCACAGAGCATTATTGTATCATCACAAACTAAATGTAACACGGTAAGCCTTGAGAAACGTGATTATTTATTTTTATTATTTTTATGACTTCAAGTGCAAAAATGGCTCCCAACAGTCTTGGATTAGAACTAAGAAAAAAAATTATTTTTGATTACGTAAGTGGAATGTCACAAAAAAGTATTTGTGATAAATATCGTGTGAAAAAATGGACCGTATCAAGACTATGTTCCAAACATCGTTCTACAGGAAAGTTGGCAGCAGATAAAAAAGGTAGAAGACCGCGTTCCACCACTTTTACAGAGGATTCTATGATCTTCAGATCCTTCAAAAAGGATCCATGGATATCATCAGTCGAGATACAAAAGCAATTAGAGCTGCCTGTATCAGACCGAACAATCAGAAGACGTGTTATTGTTGCCAGATTGTTTTCTCGACGCCCTGCAAAGAAACCGCTAATTTCACTAAAAAACCAGAAGAAAGGACTCCTGTTTGCTACATCTCATATTGACTGGTATGTGCAGAAATGGCGAACTTTTTTGTTTAGTGATGAATCGAAGTTCAACGTTATTGGGAGCGATGGCATTTGCCGTGTACGTCGACCGGCCGGAAAACGCCTCGATTTACGTTACTGCCATAAAACCGTAAAGCATGGTGGAGGCAATGTAATGGTCTGAGGGTGTTTTTCGGCTAACGGTCTAGGTCCAATAAACGATGGAATAATGGACCGTTTCATGTATAAAAATATCTTGAAAGATGTTATGTTACCTCATGCTGAATGGAATATGCCAATAAAATGAAATTTCAGCAAGACAACGATCCGAAACACACTGCAAAAGTAGTCAAGCAGTGGTTTCAAGACAACCACCTATTGGTGATGGATTGGCCGCCTCAATCTCCGGATCTCAACCCTATCGAGAACCTGTGGGAGATCGTCAACTGCAGAATTAATCGTGAAGGTGTTCGTAATAAGGATCAACTGTTTGAACAAATCCAAAAGGCCGGGGCAGCGATTCCACAAAGTTTCATTGATCACCTGATCAAATCTATGCCTCGAAGATGCAAGGCTGTGATCGACAACAAAGGATTCGCCACAAAATATTGATAGCGAAATACAGCTTGGTCAACATTTTGTGGAGTTGTTTTGTTTTGTCCAGAAGAAAATCAATTTTTTTTAATACTTTTGATTAATTTATTAGTTTTCGTGTACAAATAATGCACTTTGTGATGAATAAAACTTGAAGAACGTTGTCTCTAAACAGTTACATAGTTATTTCTCTAAATTTAAAAAATGCAGCACTTTTATATATAAAGAAACTAAATTAGCATTATTTGGTTGCACCTGTTTTGTCCGATACTATATATATATATATATATATATATATATTATATATATATATATATATATATATATATATATATATATATATATATATATTTCTGTCAATAAAACAGGGTCTCGTTTGCCTAACTCGCTATTCTAGACCAGTGGCGAATTAGACCTATTTGGGGTCCAGGCTAATTTAAAAACAGGAGACCCCTATCCATGTCATTAATTAAAGGTTTAATTTTCAGAGTTTCTTGTGAAATTTTTTTTTTTTTTTTTGAATTGGGGCCCCGATTCAAAACAAAGCTCCACCATTAATTCAGCATTGATCTGAGCCTCGAGTACAAAAAATTGATCATAATGATAAGACTAAAAGAAGTTTAGTCTAATAACAAAAAAGCAATATTCGAAAATTCATGGTACGGAAGGAGTCACGGTAAGGAAGGAGGCATGAGCTTCTTTTTCAATAGAAATAATGAAATAAAGTGTTTTTGGTGAAGCATACAAAAACATTTAAATCACAAACAAGGTAAAAACTTAACTTTTAGTAAAAGAAAATCAATTTTAGAAGAAAAAATTTCAGCAATGATCTGGACCTCTACATTTTTAATTAATCCCTTTAATGAAGGAAGTTTATTTAAAACATTCACAACAAAAAACATGAAGCAAGTATTACAATTGTTTAGATTTTTTGTTTTCAATGGAATATTGAGAGACGTGTTTTAAAAAGAATTATTGAAGAGAAATGATATAAAAAGAAAATGTGTCAAAAATTGCAGGTTGGTTGAGTGTTGAGCACTTAGACGCAGGTTGGTTGAGCACTTAGACGTTGTCCAAATCAACCCCTAAGTTGATTTGGACAACGTCTAAGTGCTCAAAGCGAGTAATCATCGTCAAATAAGTTGAAGTCGTAGAAATAACTCAATAAGAGCAAATTCCCCAAATGATTTCCTAAAGTTTTCTTAAAAGAATTTTTTTAACAAAATATAAACGGAAAATTCTCCATTAAAATTTACCGGTAAATTTTTTTTTCAATTTATTTAGGTGCCCCAAAAAGTCCTTACGGTCTTATCATAGAGCACCGCGGATAAGCATTTATTTGGAAGTTCACGCCTCCTTCCTAACCGATGTCGCAAACAAGCCCAGAGGTGGGTTTGAACCAGGGATCCTTTGTTTCTGAGGCAAGTGCTTAAATTTGCACAATTCGATATATATATATATATATATTTATATATAATGCCACACTGATTATATATGCTGATATTATGCCAAATCGGCATACTAAATATTGTTCAACCAATGTATATCGTATTTAATTACGGTTAATCGATTTAATTACTTTTCGGTGGTGTTGCGTTTATTATTGAGTAGTTTTTTCTGCTAGGTACCTTGTGGGCTACTTGACATGTATTACAAAGAATTTTCTTTTAGAAAAGTTTTACCTACGCTTTTTATGCCGAGAAATGGATCGCAACAGAATATATTTATATATTTTTATTTAGTTGTTAAGGCGCTCCAAGAAGTCCTTGCGGTCTAGTCACAGAGTAACATGGATGACTACTAGAAATTCATGCCTCCTTTAAGTGTCGCAAATATGGCTAGAGCTGGCATTAAAGCTCGGATCTCAGAAAGTAAGTGCTCTAACCATTGCCTCATGGATGCTCGCAATAAAAATAGGTGAAATGTTAGAAAAAGTAAAATGTTAGAAATGTTAGAAAAAGTAAAAAAATAAAAGTTTAGATATTTCAAAATGTTTCAGGTGTTGTAATTGAACTCTAAAACTGATTTCGTTTATTTTCTGGTTTTCTGTTTCAATTGAGCCGTTTATATATATATATATATATATATATATATATATATATATATATATATATATATATATATATATATATATATATAATTTGGAAATAAAAATATGAATCGATAACAAAGAAATTATTTAAAAACAACTGATTAATATTTATTTCATTATTCAAGCACCCACATTTCTTCATTCAAATCAGTAAATATATGATTGCCTTTATGAAAGTTCAATGGGGGAATAGAATCTTTATTCAAATTTAAAGAGAGCTTTGAATTAAACATATCTTCATACGTAAAATCAAAATAGTCTGACACATCAGCCTCGTCAGAAGGTAAATCCTTTTTAAATAAAGCCACTTGCTTCAGCACTTCTGATGAATAATGGGACTTTAATGTATTAAGCTCCCAGAGACAGCTATCTATTGCATTGCATTTCTGAGGATCTACTTCCTCATAGATGTATGGGTCAACCATTAAAGAGTTCATCTAAAAATAAAAAAATTACAAAACTATATAATTTGTTTTATGTTTATTTTATGAAAACGCAAAATAATTTTTAACACTAAATAAGGTTCAAAATAATTCAATAAAAAGTATATGTAATTTTATTTATACAGCAATTTTCAATAAAACTGTTTTTTTTTTTCCAAAATTTTAATTTTTTGAAATGATTAATCTATCCACATTATATTTTTTATTTTTAAACCATTATTTACACTTAACTTTTTCTATTCGTTTCTATATGTTTAATTTTTTTTTAAACCATTTCATTGGCAATTTTTATACTATCATGCCATTATTGATAGCAGGTGGACGAGGGAGGATAGATGAGGAATAAAAGGAGGGGGGCATTTTAGTCCGTATCTAATAAACAGGGGGGTCTAAATAAAAAGTTGGGTGGAAATTTTTTACAGAACACATAAAACAAATAAAACAACTTAATTCTAGTATGGATTGCGGTCAAATGTGCATTTTTTAACATCATAATTATAATAGGATTTAATAAAAATTTTAATATAAGCTTAGCTTATATAGGTTTTTTGTGAAAAACAAACAAAAATTTTTAAAAAATCAAGATTTACGCGATTCTTTAAAGGTCGACAATTTTTAAAGCTTAATTACACTGAAAGTTTTTATTCTTATCAGTGACTGAAATATATATATATATATATATATATATATATATATATATATATATATATATATATATATATATATATATATATATATATATATATATATATATGTATATATATATATATATATATATATATATATATATATATATATATATATATATATATATATATATATATATATATATATATATTGAGTGTCTATTATCTCGACATTGAAGATTTTCTAAGAGCTTGATATTGTGAATCCCTCGCCTTTAGAACCATTCTTTCTCATGGTTCTAAAGGCGAGGGAAGGCTCTTTTGTGCTTGTCATATTTGATCTTCATTTGGCAACAAATCAGGATTGGCAAAAAAATCCAACCTAAAAAAACCACCTAAAAAAACCCAAATATATTTGGGTTATTTTGGATTTTTTTTTTTTAAATTATTTTACAAATTTTAGCTATAAGTGCTTTATTAAAAACAAATTGCAAGTTTTATACTGTAAATACTCTTGGATGCACTGTATTTATATAAAAAATGATATTAAGAATATAATTTTTAGTTTGAACTCCTTACAGAATAATCCAAAAACAGATCAATCATTTTTTTAGCAAGTTGGTATTTATTAATTTTTAAATTATTAGAAAATTATAATAAATTATTAGAAAGTTAAATATTAAAAACTGTTATTGTAATATGTATTAAAATATTAGGGCAAATTAGTTAAATGTTTTTAAAGGAAAATATAACCATTCTATTAACTAAAATTTAAAGTATAAGAGATTACAAGTTATTTTATATTATTCCTTTCCTCTCAATTGCCCATATTTCAGAACAAGGGTCTTAAATCTGTCATTTTATATTGGTATTTGATCTTTATTTTAAAAAGTTCACGTAATAAATTGCAAAACTCAGTAAAAGGCCACAAGCAGAACACTATATAAAAATTGTTACACTTTAATTACAGTCTGGAAGTGGAACCTTAAAATATTAAATGCATATGTTATTTGCAATATGTTTGCTTATAATATCAAAATAAGAGAACATGTTGGAAACTTGCATGCACTCACAACATGTTGGAAACTTGTATGCACTCACAACATGTTGGAAACTTGTATGCACTCACAACATGTTGGAAACTTGTATGCACTCACAACATATTGGAAACTTGTATGTACTCTCAACATGTTGGAAACTTCTTGACTCGATGCATGGGTTTTGCTTGTATCTCTGTTTTTATGACAACTCATTCTATTATCTCCAAATGAGGGTACAGCTCTAAAACTCATTTTTATGGTTCTGAGGCCGGCTGGTAGTCAGGTTTCCCGAACTTTGTGGTAGCTCTCAGAGAGGCAATCTTTTAAGTCGTCTGTCAATCGTTATCTTGATCTACAATCTTCATCTTTTCGCTTCCAGTAACTTCCAAAATTAATTAGTGGTTGCTTGCAGCCTTGTTGGAAGCGAAGTTGTTATAAAAAAAAAAAAAAAAAAAAAAAAAACTTGTATGCACTCACAACATGTTGGAAACTTGTATGCACTCACAAGGACAGGGTTTGTTGATGATACTCATGCTCATCTGTCTACAGGTATAAAATCAGCTGCAAGTTTACAACATATACCATCAACGGGGGTGACTATGAACAGCGGGGTGAAAATGAACATCAAGACTAAGTTTACTAAAAGGTGAAGAAACACACAAAATAGGGCAATATATTGTGTTATTTTGATTTAGTTGCTTTAAATGATATATAGAAGCTGTTTTTGGTCGCACAAACAATTAGCTTTTTTTAGTTTTTCTATATCGCCTAAAAACAGCAAGAGTTCAGGCAGTTAAATGACTTATTAAGGTACCTTTAAAAATCAAGTAAAAAAAATCATAAAAGTTTCTACATATCAGGTTCAGATAAATAATGTTTAATAAAATCAAAGTTTAGTGTGAACTTGTCTGTATGTAATTACTTGCTAAACTAAAATGACATTTTTTATCAATAGTTTTTTTTGGCTAATTTTAGCAAATTTGCCACAAAATTAAATAAGAAATGAAAATACCTGATGTTATATAATAAGTTACACTCAAGCAGACCTAGAAACAGCTTTAAATAAAGTGAAAAACAGTAAATTTACTATAAGGAAGGCTGCTAAAACTTATAACATTACATAAGGAATACTACATAAAAAAAGTAAAACTCGGGGAAAAAAAAATTAAAAACATGTTTTATTCAATGTCACCCCAAATTGTCACCTCATTTTAAAAAGGAGGTTATGATCATATAAAATAAGAAAATTAAAATATGCAGTAAAGCATAGTCTTGATCAGGCTTAAAATTTTTCCAGGAAGCTGGATAGTATAATTTTCTGTTAAAAGAAAAAAAAAAAAGCGATTAGGCTAATAGTTTTCTTATATGATGCAAAAATGTTTGAATAGTGTTTATAATCATCCCAATCGACAAAAATTTATATCAATATATTTGCAACATCATGTTGCAAACTTGTAGAGTACATGATGTGAACTTTCGCAAACTAGTTTTTAAAGTAACATGTTGAACGTGTTAGTATAAAAAAAAGTTCGCAACATTTATAGTCTTATCAAGTTTGAATAACTCAGTGCCCATAATAATATCCAGCAATATAATAATTGCAATAATAATTTCACCCAAGATTTTAATAATAATTTTATCCATATATGCAGAGCCAGAGCCATAGTTTTCACACAATATAACTATTTTCCAGGCATGATGGAAAATAGAATAATTTTCCTAGAAAATAGAATAATTTTCCTAGAAAATAGAATAATTTTCCTAGAAAATAGATTTATTTTCCTAGAAAATAGATTTATTTTCCTAGAAAATAGATTCATTTTCCTAGAAAATAGATTCATTTTCCTAGAAAATAGATTCATTTTCCTAGAAAATAGATTCATTTTTCTGGAAAATAGCTGAAAAAAAGAAGGAAAAACTAACATTTATTTCAAGTCCTTAATAAATTAGTTAAAATAAAAACAAGAAAACCAAACATTTTATTCAAACTAAATGGAAAAAACAAATGCTTTATTAATTCTAAATAAAATATTTAAGAGAAAATCATCAAAACTAAGTTTTAATTATATTCCTAACAAATTGGTAAAATCCAGCATTGGTTTTTCCAATTTTTGAGACAATGAAGAACAAAAAGTTGGTGAACTAAAATAGTTTGCCAACTTTTCTTTCAAATGTCATCGTTCAATAAATCAATAGTGTTGACTTCTTATCAACTCAAGAAAAAATGGTAGTATCATCAGCGAACATTTCCACCTTAGAAGTGAGAACTTCAGGGAGATCGATAATGTAAACTAAAAAAAGTATAGGGGTTCCTCAAGGATAAAACCTTGAGGAACCCCTGAAGTTACAGGAAATGAAGAGTGCTGTTCATCTAAGACAACTTTTGGGAGTATCATCAGCGAACATTTCCACCTTAGAAGTGAGAACTTCAGGGAGATCGATAATGTAAACTAAAAAAAGTATAGGGCTTCAGGGGTTCCTCAAGGATAGAACCTCGAGGAACCCCTAAAGTTACAGGAAATGAAGAGTGCTGTCCATCTAAGACAACTTTTATACTATGATTAGCAAGAAAGGATTTAATAATCTTAAAGATGTTACCTGATACGCCACAAGAAGAGAGCTTATGGAGAAGACCAGCATGCCAAACTTTATCAAAGGTTTTAGAAATGTTGTGAGTGATAGCCTTAACCTCTCCACATTTATCTAATGCACAATAAAACCTTTCAGTTATAACCATTAACAAATTAGCAATAGAATTAGAAGATCCAAACCCATATTGATGATCAGAAAGTAGGTTACTAGATTCAAGATGAGACATTAAGTGTTTGTTAATTAAATATTCAAAAATCTCGCTTATGAAAAGTATGAAAACACGCTCGCTCAAGAGTTAGGGAGGAAGAAGACTAATAGAACGGTAGTTAGACGAGTCAGATTGCTCTCCAGAATTTTTGAAAATAGGGATAACAGATGCTACTTTTCAGAAGGCTGGAAAACAAGATTTGGATAAGCGCTTGTTGAATAGTTTTGAAAGTATAGATGACAGCTCCGGAGAACACATCTGCAAGACTATAACAGGTATGTTGTCCAGACCATAAGCTGTAAAAGTCTAAGCAGGAAATCACTTTAGATACAGAAGCTGGAGTGATACAAATGTCAAGCAATAGATCAACCTGTTTGTTGGCTACATCAAGTAGGATTTGATTAATGGAATCAAGAGATGAGATTGATGAAAAGTTCTTAGCAAATAATTCAGCTTTGTTAGTGCATCCAATACCGGTAGTACCGATACCGGAATACCAGTATTACCAGACTTTTTTAAGTACCAAAATACCGATATTAGGTTGGTCTAATACCGGTATTAAACTTCCAGGCGCAATTAGCAACATTCATTCAGCTTGTAATAAAAGTATGAAAACACGCTCGCTCAAGAGTTAGGGAGGAAGAAAGTAATAAGTTGATTTTTTATCTAAAATTATTGATAAAAATTTTTAATTAAAGATAAAACTTGTTTAATTTAAAATTAAAATTATGTCTTCTATTAAAAGAGATTTTATTATATATTATTTTTATTATATATTATTTTATTATATATTAGCATTATGTCACTTGCTGAGCACGTATTTGTGTTTTGCACTAACGCAATGAATGAAAAGTTTGATGTCGTTACCGCTGATTTCTATAATGGAAATTCCATTATAGAAATCAGCGGTTATTCCATTCCATTCCAGGAATGTTTACTATTTTAACCATGCGCACGTGGATACGCTATGTGAATAGGAAATATAAAAAACTAAGGCAAACTCAATGAAAATAGAAAATTACTATAAGAAAATTGAAACTTCAGATTATTTTTATTAAAAAAAAATTGTGCGCTTTTAATTAAGAACTAATAATCAATATTTTATGTCTGATGAATTCATTTACTTTAAAGTCCAGAAACACATGAAATGTCCAAAAGGAATTCAAAGAGTTCAGTACTGGTGTGCAAGTTGACGAAAATTCTGTGTGGTTTTATTTTCTACGTGATAAAGAAATCAACTTGCAAAGTGTAAAAAATGCAGCAAAGATATAAAATCAAATGGTGGCAGTACCAGTGGACTGCATACGCATCTAAGATTTAACCATAAAATTGACTTACTGAAGAGAAAATTGGTCCAAGATCCAGCATTGACATTGGTTTCGTTTTCATTGGCACCGTTACCAACGGGCAAATAACCCAAACCTCAGATCACCGACTTCTTACAAAATCAACACAATAATTCCTTACCTGCAGTTTTTTTTAGATTGACTGCCCTTGATGGACTACCTTTTAACGTATTTGTCACGTCAGCAGAGCTGAAAACATCGCTACAAGCTCGTGGGTTTGTTGTTCCGAAATCAGCAACGACAATTCACAATATGGTAGTAAAATACGCAGACACAATTAAAGAAACTGTAATATCTAAGTTTAATAACCTCCGATCACATTTGATGAATGGACATCAATTAAAAATCACAGATATTTAAATGTAAACGTTCACACCGAGGACGAATTTTGGAGTCTTGGATTAGCTAGAGTTGTTGGTTCACTGCCTGCACAAAAATGCATTGATTTAGTTCAAAAAGTGTTGACACAGTTTATGCTGAACTATGATGAAGACATTGTGTGTATTACTACTGATGGAGAAAGTGGGACGTTTGAGTAATTATGAACAACAGTTGTGCATTGTGCATGGCATTCAACTGGGCGTTCAAGAAGTTTTGTACAAAATACCGTCAACTTGTGCAAAAAGAAGCTTAAAAGTTATCTGCAATTACAACAATATCAGTGAAAGTGATATTGTTGTAATTGATGAGGATATTAGCACTGACAATGACACAAACAAAACCAATGACAACAAAGAAGACTTTTCCGGCAAGTTTCAAGTTGTATTGAGTGAAAAAGATGACCCTATTGAACTGACTGATGATCTGCAGCCATTAATCACTAAAGTGCACATAGTTGTGAAATTGTTTTGCTGTTCTCTGACAAAAAATGATCAAACACTTCAAAAATACACAGTAGAGGAATCTGGTAAAGGCCTTCCATTGAGACTCCAAAACTCGCTGGATTAGCTTACACACAATGCTCGAACATTTTGTGAAATTGAAAAACTGCATTCGCAAGTCGCTGATTGACCTTGAATACAAAATTGAAATAACTGATAAGGAGTTCAATTCAGTTTTAGGTGTTGTTTCATGTCTTGCGCCAGTAAAATTGGCTGTGAAAGCATTGTGTTGAAATGATGCAACACTGTTATCAGCCAATACAACACTAATGTTCATGATAAATAACATTGGAGACACAGATTTAGCTGTTAAGTTAAAAGCTACTTTAGTGCGTCGAATCAATGAGCAACGTACAACTTTTTCCAGCTTACTGCACTATCTGCACAAGGGCCATCAACGTTACGAAAATTTAGATCCAGCGCTATCTTTCGAACACCTTAGCAAATCAGCCATTGTAAATACCATTGCTCGACTGAATGATCGGCTCAGTCAGCAACCTTATAATCCTTCCACCAGTGTATCTTCTGATAGCGATTCTGTTGACAACTTGCAAAATTTTGAATAATAAGAAATGTAACAATAAGGAAAGATTGAATGTTTCGAATAACTTATCAAAAACCATACGCAATGAGATGGAAGTTTTCGAAGATGGAGGAACTCACGGTGTATATTTGCAAAATTCATACGAATACTTGAAAACTGTAAAGCTAACAAGTGTCGAATCGGAGCCTGGATTTTCAGCAAGTAGCAACATTGTCACAAAATTATGATCATCTCTTGAAGATGATACTCTGAATGCCCTATGTTTCTTACGTTCATACTTTACAAAGAAGAAAAAAGTGAAATATGAAAAAGTTTGTAAGTGAATCTTGAATCAAAGAAGTTTTACTATTTATTTGAGATTTTATTCATATTATGATTAATTAAAATAATAAAAATAATACTGGTATTCCCGGTATTGAATTCAGTACCGAAATACCGGTATTGAAAAATGTTGTCGGCATTGGATGCACTAAGCTTTGTCTTAAGATGAGGTAATAAAGTTTGAACCATGCAAGAGAGGTGGAATAACAGATTTGCCTTTATTATAGACATTACTAAAATTTCTCCAGAAGTCTCTGGAGCCCAAATTTTGAAATAAAATATGAGATTTTTTGACCTGAGAATACTGGGCTTTGGCATTAGACAAAACTATTTTACAATGGTTTCTAGCAATAATAAACAGTTGCTTGTTTTCTGGGGAATTGTTTTGGCAATAGATATGGAAGTAATGGTTAGAATTTGAAATTGCAGCAGCACAATGAGAGGAAAACCATGGAAAAGAGTGACGCTAGACTTGAAATCATCAAGAGGGATTTGTGTTAAATTTAGATTAATTTGTGTTTTTTAAAAAACAATCATTTAAATTTAATAAGTTTCCTTAACTAAATTTAATGGTTTTTTCACAAGGTGTACTTGATTTTTTCAACACAAAAAGCCTTTAAGAGCTGTTTCTTACCACAAATGGAAAATTTTGATGTCTACAAAGGAATATATATATATATATATATATATATATATATATATATATATATATATATATATATATATATATATATATATATATATATATATATATATATATATATATATATATACAAACACAAATAATTAACAAAAAATAACAAACATCTTTTCCTTACATTTTTTCTATGAATTAGAATCAACGAACTAGGATGTCGAAAAAACATATTACGAATAAAAACTAGCACCATCTTTAAATCAGTAATTGGTGAATATAGTAAAATTCTTGCAAGACGTTTGATAAATGCTGCTACCAAATAAACTGGCAAATGTGTTGAAGACAAGAATAAGTCCAATAAGTGGAAAAATCTTGATTTATACTTTGTGTAAAAAATTCCTGGATCTACCAAATTATATAGTTTTTTGTAGAAATCAGGATAGTCTAAATTGTACTGATTAATAAGAACAAATAAACTATTTAATGCAAGAAGACTTGTTACTCCACCAATATTATAAGAATCTGTCAAAAAATCTATTAGCATTTTTGGATCTGAAAGATTTGGCATAATCTTTTTGTCTAAATCAACAAGAACTTTTTTTTGTAATTTTGAAGGCAGACTAAATTGCATAAAAGATAACCAAGCAGAACTAAACACGACAGGATATTTTTTTATTAACTTAGTGAGATCAAAGTTTTCTGATTCAAGAAATGTCACAATTTCTTTATTTTCTTTTTTTAATTTACTAACATCTAATAATATTTTATAAACGTTAAACAATTCATTCTGCGTCTGGTTTTGTTTTTGAGCAATTTTTTGACAAAGCATAAGTGAAATAAATTTAACACAATAATATTGAATATCGAAGCTTTTTAAATAACTATTAAACTTAATTGCAAATTCACCTTCAATGCAATCTTTAAAAACTACTTGTTCCATAATTTTTTGAAAAAATAAAAAAGGGAAATTAAAAGTTGATTTACGTTTCGATTCATATTCAACTTTCATCAAGTTAAACAACGACATTAGGCATTCTAACTGAATACTCAAATTTTTGTGATTTAGATGATGCAATAAAATTTCAACAAAAGCTTCGTAGTTGGTTTTTAACCACAAATTAACTTTGCATTCTGCATCTTTTTCGTCTTCAACTGAATAAGATTTATTAAATATTCCATCATTGATGTAATATTTAAAAACACCATAAAGAATTGAATTAGCAACATTTATTTCAAGTTTACTACCACTTTCAAAAATTTTCAGTAAGTCTGATATGGTATTTGAATTCTTTTTATTTTCGCATATTCTTTGAATTTGCGCCTCTGCTGATAAGTCCGCCATTGACACACATGGAGCTAAAAGTAGCTACCGGTTATTTAGATTTAATCAAATAACCGACAGACAATTTTATTTTGACGACGTATAGAACGATTATAACGTATCTATTAGCAGGATTCGTATACTCTAGTAAGTGGCGGATCCAGGTCATTGTCCAAGGGGAGGGGTGAGTTAGTTATTTGACCAACAAAAAATAAAATCCGCTTTTTTGTTTTTCAGATAAACCACTTTTTTATTTAGAAAAGTTTACTAATAAATATATTGAATGTATCAGCATATAAATATCTTGAAAAAATCAAACGTAGAAAATAAATATTTAATCTGTAATGTAGGCAGAAAAAATTTGGGGTGCTTTAAACACTCCTAATTTTTTTTTCCACGATACTCCATTTAAAAAACGAGCTCGCTAAAATCATGTTGCACAGGCTGCAGTCTTGTCTGTCTATAGGTAAATCTGGCCGTGTCTGTAATGTGCAACAAAAGACAAAATAATAACTTTAGTATATTCTTTTTTTAATAAAGAATTTTATAAATTTGATAATCTACAATATAAAATTGAACTCTAGTTTTCCATTTTCGAAGATATCTATAATCTATCAATAACCTTTTCAACATTTATGATGCAATCTCTATGGATATGCATCATAGCTGAGCCATTTAATCGTTCTTGTCATATATTGGATCTTAACCAAGTTTAAAGTCTTTTTAAAACCAAGAAACTCCGTTCTCCCAAAGCAACACTAACAGGAAGTGTGCAAAGCAATTTCAAAATTTAATCATTTAAAAGGAAGACATTACCATCAGATCGCTTGTATGCTTCCAGCGCACATTCTGGTAGGTCTTATTGCTTTTTGATTGAGTCTTTCCATTTTAGCTCCCAAAATTGAAATTCTGAAGCAACTTTTATTAATTGGACATTCTCATCAACAGTATTTATATTGGGCAGCTCTTTCATAAAACTCAGTATATTAGTTATGGATGCTGTTAACTCTGTCTTTGTTTTACTTAATAAATTTCTAGGTATTACTACATTTAATTCAAAAAAGTTCAAGGTTTCATCAGAAAATCTGAACTGTAAATCTAGAAGTATGCTATCATGTAACGTTTAATAAACATTGACTCTATAGTAAGTTAGAGGATCATTGGTATTGAGGTTTGCACGATTAGTTTGTTTTCCTGAATTCGCGGAATTTTGTTTTTTAAACCTAAGTCTTCTAGTAACTTTGATGCAATCATAAATATAGCATTAAAGTTTTCTTCATTCTGTCGTCTTTTATTCAAGAGTTTGTAAACTTTCAATAAATCCATTTTCAAGCAAATACCTTACAGATTGTAGAGAAATGCATGCCATATCAAAAATTATGTAAAAGTTGTTTAAAACATTCAAAAAATTATTATTAGAAAAGTTTTTTTTTTAATTTGTCAAGGGGCAATCATCATATATTTAATTCGACGAACTTGGCCTGAAGTTACGCTACCGAACAATGAAAATAAAACAATTTTAAGTACTTTAACAACTTTTTAAAATCTCGTCAGCCGATTGAAAGGGTCAGATAAGTCGCAAGATTTTTTTGACTAACTTGGCCTTAAGTTACGTTACCGAACAGTAAAAATAAATAAAATTAAAGGACTTTGAAATCTTGTAAGACAAATAAACAGGCCAGATAAGTTGCAAGATTTCTTGACTAACTTGGTCCGAAGTTACGCTACCGAAAAAAAAAAATTACAAGCCGCGCACGACACGGGGCTATTGCGTGCGCATATATTTATTATAGTTTATTAGGTATTGCTGTTTAGACCAATAGAATAATTTCAAAAATCTCAAAAATATATAAAATAGCCTGATCGTTGTTCAGTATAGTAAAAAAGATGTTAATCAATGCGCCTAACAAAACTCTAAATTAAACCCGGCGGATATCGCACATGGCATAAAGTTTATTATAATTTAACTGAAATTTGAAGTAACTTTTATGTACTTTATGTACTTTTATGTAACTTTTATGTAACTTTTTATGTAACTTTTTATGTAACTTTTTATGTAACTTTTTATGTAACTTTTATGTACTTGAAGTAACTTATGTACTATTCTTATTTAATTTATGTACAAACTAAATTTTATGTATAATTTTTTATTTAGTAATCGTATTCAAATGGCTCCAATTAGAAATTTAGAAAAATTAAAACAAAAAAAGCAGAAGAAAACAGCACTTTCCAAAACTATCAATGTAGCCACTAAAGAAAACGATAACATGGTAAAATGTTTATAGTAATTCCATTGATATTTATTCTGAACAAGTTACTTTCGCGAAAAGTTAAACTCAAAGAATATTTTTTAGGCTAATAAGAAAACATTTTTTTTTTGTCATTTTTTAATCTATACAGCTTGATGAATTTCGGTGGAAATCAAATTTACTGTATGTATTCTTAAATGCATATCAAATTCATTATATGTATTCTCCTTTTAGCTTATCCCACTAAATTATTAATACAAAAAAAGAAAAAAATTCTTATATATAAAATTCTTATATATTCTTATATATATTATGCTATATGCTAATATTATCATATTAGAAACACTTAGGTACTACTGTCACATTATATTCTTTTTTTTTCCTTTTCTGTTATTTATTTATAGTACTTAACATAAAACAACATATCTACTAAATATCACTAACATAGTCATGCTATCATTTTATTTAAAATTGATTACACATTTTTCTAAGATTGTATATTCTTATACTGTATACTGTACTAAATCTAAATGCAATCAAAACTCATAGTTGATTCATGTATGCTTATCCTAAATAAATCATTTGATGTATTTATCATACATCAATTGATTTTGATTTGCATTTCATTTCTTTAAATAAATTAACAGTATATAATTATTATTATTTACCTAAATACTGTTAAATGTCTGTTATTGTTGTTGTCATACTCTAAATAAATTACTGTTACTCTAAAAATAATTATGTTACTCTTAAAATATTAACAGTGTTCTAGTTAGGGTTAATAGGTTTAAGACAAATGATTTGAACAAATGGTTTAAACCATTATAAAAAATATCTATATATATATATATATATATATATATATATAATGACCATGCAAAAAATAATGTTTTATTTGACCACGATTTGACCACGGCTTTTAACATATCTTCAAAATTCAAAAATGCACTACAAAAACTTATCTAAACTTATCTTAAAAAAAAAATTGCAAAAAGAAAAAAAATTTTAACGAAAAAGAAAATAAAAAAAAATACTTCGTTAAAGCAAAAACACAAAAAAATATATATCAGGCTTGGTCGGGAAGCGGGTGCGATCGCACTCAATAATTAAACACGGAAATATTATTTAGTTGTGAAAAACCGGAAACGTCGCCCATTTATAACTTTTTTTATAAAATAAAGCGACAATTTTTGTTAAAAGTAACAACTATAAAGAAACAAATGTTCTTTGATTTATCAAAGAGTATATATAATTTTTATTTATATACTTATGTCTTATTTCCAGTGCTGGATTGAGGAAGTGGGCTGGGGGTAGTAGGGCTTTAGCCGCGGGACTCACAATGTTAGGGAAAATGATGGTCAAGAAGACCATTCGGTATTTTTTTAAGTCATTTTTACGCTGTGGCACATAAAAAAGGCCGCCAAAATAATGCAGCCCTTGGCCCTGAAAAGTCCAACAAGATTCAACCAGATGATTTGTTTATAAATAAAAAAGTTTTTTCAATAACTGTTTTATGCTTCGCGTAGTTTAAAAAGTTTAACAGATTTGAAACAATTCTTCATAATAAGATGAACAAATGAAATAATTAAATCATTGAGTTACTGTAGAAATTAAATTAGCTAGATAGAAATTAACAAAAAACGTTAAATTACTTTTTGAGGAGGAAGCGGAACTGCTTCACAATACAGCTGATGATGTTTAGTGAGTGGGCTTTATAATTTTAATTAGTATTTAAAACAGAAATAAGTAACTTTAAGTATAACAAGTTTGTAAGAATGGCTGAAGCAAAAATAGTTGAAGTTAGTAAACCAATTTCTAAGAACTTAAAAACTTTTCTTTCTTGGGAGAAAGAATCAGTTATCGGGTACACTGAGGAAAATGGATTAGTGGTTAAAATTATTTGTATTAACTTTGATGATTATTAATAATTTCATTGAAAACGCAGTTATTATTAAATGTATTTTTGTCTACAAAATCAATCACACAAATTGCTTTAAAAGATTACATTTGAATAAAATGCACATAAATAAAATTACATAGATAAAAATACATTACATACATAAAAATACATTACATACATAAAAAGTACATCCCTTATATATAAAAAATAATATACTAATAAAATCTAAAATATATTTACAAAAAATATAAATTTAAAACATTTATTATTGTAAACAAATGTTAGTTTAAACTATTTATAGCTTTGCAGATGTGGCTCCAAGAATTAAAATATTAGTTAGTTTAATAGTATACTCTTAAAATAATTTATGCTAGAAATCTTAGCTAAAACGTAACAAAATTCAAAAAATACAGATTTTTAAAATATTTTAACAGAATACTCAGGACATTCGGTTAGTTTTTTTGAATACTCTAGAAATTTCGGTTAGTATTTTATGAACCAATGGAATTAGTTGTTTGTAGATTAATATTCTTTTTTTATTTTTCCGCAAGATGTTTGAGAACATTTAAGTTTATTTACGACAAAAGGAACTTATTATTTTGCGGACATACAAGGAAACATACATAAACTTCAATGTTCTCAAAACGACTAAAAAATCTGGCCAGTTTTTTGCAACTAAATATTATTTCGGTGGTCAGTTATCGAGTGCGTTCGCACACGCTTCCCGACCAAGCCTGATATATAATGCAACCAAAACAAAACTCATCAAACTAAAATGCTTAGTCTATTTAATTTACGTATTAAAAACCATTTCAATCTTTGTTTTCAACATTTGTATACAGTATATTTAGCATACTGTATATTATTTATTTATTTAATATGTTTCAAAAGTTAAACATTTTTCATAAAAAATAATACATAATTATATATATTTAAAAAAAAAACATTTTATTAATAATTTTTTAAAATTAATTAGAAGTGTTTTTTTACTTTATTAAAAAGTGTTTCGATTATATAAAAGCATTTATTGTCAAACTTATTAAATTGTAACGGCTTTTTAAAACATTTTTTTTAAAACAAAATTTTGTTTATCTTTTGAAATGCATTAACTTTAATTATTCTTATATTTAAATTCGTTAAAAAGATTTTCACAGTCGTAGAATCTCATTGTTTATAAAAAAAAAACAATTTTTTATTTTTTAATAATGTTTATTTTAAAAATGAATACTTAAACAATTTATGTTATAAGTTAAAAAAATATACACAACTGTCAATTATATTAAAAAATAAAAGATTTTCAGTAAATTGTTACTTTATTTAAAATCGTTTCGCTAATATAAAAACATTTGTTTAGAAGTTTTGATGTAATTCATTTCACTTTTTTAGAATGTTTTTTATTTAGTGCGTTTTAAAAACGTTTTTTAAATTAGCCGCGGTCGAATCGTCATAGCAAAATGTAATTTGTGTGATCATATAAAGATGTGAAATCGCACGTCTTCCTGTGAAAGCCTGTTTATGGATTTTTTTTTTTATTAGATTAAAAAAACAGATAGATATCCTTTTTTCTATTTTTTTGTTTAAAAAAAAAATGTTTTTTTTTATTTTATTAAATTTAAATTAATTTTATTATTATTCATAGTTTTATTAATTTATTTGATTAAATTTAAATAAAATTCTTTTAAACATTTCAAAACCATTTTACAATTTTTTTTGCTGATAAAACACCAAAACATTTATTTTATTTTAAAAACAAAACTAATACTAGAGCTATAAATATAAGATATAAATGTAAACTTCAAAATTATACTGATATTTGTTAAAAACAAGTTCTGTTAATAGCATCTTAAAACTGAAAGTACTATTTTTCTTTTTGGATTTAGTAAAGAAATAGTAAAAGTACATTTGGTTTTACGGTACATGAAAATTAAATATTTTAATGGAAATAAAAACAAAAAAACAAAGCCGAACAGCAGTAATCTTTGTTTAATTACAATTTTTATTTTATCAAAAGCCAGTTTTGACTTTTGACGTGGAGCATAAAGATTAAAATTTATACCTTAACAGTAATTAATAAAATATATTAAAAAAATATAATGCTTTTAAAGAATTCTCTGTCTTTGCAGATAACCGTTTTCAATTTTAGTTGTATTAATATCAAAAGTTTCTAATAAGTTTGTTAGGCACCCTTTATTTATTAAATATATTTTCCATTAACTTGCTTGATATCAATGTTGAAGAAATCTGTAATTGAATAAATGTAACTTTATTAAATAAAGATTGTCAGTTTGCGTATTTTAAAGAGTGTCAGTTGCGTATTTTAAAATACCTCATTTTAATTAAATTCAAAAACACATTAGAAATTTTTGTGTTTTTTAAATGAAATATCTTTAAATTAAACAATATTGTTATAAAAAAAGTTATGAATTAAATTTAAATGTTAATTTAAAAAAAAAAATTATTTTTAAATCTTATACTTATTTAAACTTAATTTTTTTTTATAAAACATTCTTTTTATGGTTTTTTTTTTACATAACCATAAAAAGAATGTTTTAAAGAAATGCTTGTTTACAGTACGCTTGTTTACGGTTGATTTTCTTAAAGAGATTTAAATGTACCTACTACTACACAAATAGATTGGGTTTTCCCCTTTATAAAAAAATGTTTGCGCTACCTAAAGCGTTTTAGTAACTAGCTTTTAATAAAATAAAAATTGTAATTAAACAAAGATTACCTCTTTTCGGCTTTGTTTTTTTTTTTTATTTTCATTAAAATATTTTATTTTTATGTACCGTGAAACCTAATGTATTTTTTTACTATTTCTTACTAAATCCAAGAAGAAAAATAGTATTTGCGGTTTTAAGGTGTTATTAGCAGAACTTGTTTTTAGCAAATATCAGTATAATTTTGAAATTTACGTATCATATTTATAGCACTAGTATTAGTTTTGTTTTCAAAATAAAAGAAATATAAGTTGGGCTTTTAAAGAATTAGTTGATCGCGTTATTTTTAATCAGTTCAAAGTTTTGTACGTTTTATAAAAAAAACTTCTCTACATAAAACTTAACGGCAAAAGGAAAACCCAAACATAACATTTAAACTGGAGTTTGAAAGAACTTTTTGT